CCATTTTACTTAGAAATCTAAATTTGACCATACATCGGAAACCAACACATTCAGATCGGTACACTGATAGTGATTCTCTGCACGTACATTTAGTCAATGCAAAAGTTTTTCTAGCCGTGTGAATTCATTCGAAAGGTCTGCTAAGATCATTACTTCAGAGGATCAAACTAAAGCAATAAGAAAATATGATGGACATTCTTTTATATCTGCACAAACGAGGTGGTATCGATTTTGATGCGCTTTTACATCGGAGAGTCCTCCTATGAAATCTCGACTCATGCTAAGCCACACAAACAGACTCAATAATCCCGTAGAAATGAAAAATCAAACCGGTAATGGTGCTGCTAATCACCAACACAAATCGATTTTAAAAATATTAAAATTATTCAGGTTTTTCCAACTGTAAAGAGAGAGAGAGACGAATAGCCGAAGTATTTCATATAATGCTAAATCTCTCAGCCCTCTCTCTATAAGACAAAAAAGGACTGACTGGACTGTATCTATATATAACCATATATGAATCGATTCATTGATTCCTTCTAAGCAATTCCAAACACACACACACACAAACACATTACATTGCATTATTTAAAAACTCCATTAATTTATGTCACAAATTACATATTGTTCCTACGCTCTTCTTTCATAACACACACATGACATGTTAAGGTCGTACACATGAAGAAGAAAATCACCTTGACCGAAAGTGACATATTCAGACCAATCATGAATTAAAGTATATATTCTGCCTAGTTTCACTTATTACCAATTAAACTTGTGTTAATTTATTTATCTACTCGAATGAAAGAAAGTAAGTGACTTGAATTAAGTAAGTCACGAATAAAAAGTCAGATAATATATAAATTTCTACTTATTACCACCAAAAATAATTTTTAACGATTTTATTGTGATCAACTTTCTACTCAATTTATTTAAAACTATCAAGTCTAACTTTGATATTGATACTTGAACAAAACAAAACAAAAAAACAATTTCAGTTTTCAAAAATTTAATTTACTACTACTTACTATTCAAGATAAAGTACTATGACTCTGACAGAATATTCAAAGACTCCTCCTCCTCAAAAAGTGAGTAAATTAAAATCATTGTTCCTACTGAAGTACATACAGAACCAATAACGGATTTTATCGAGATTATCATTTTTACGAAATGATGCATAGTGTGAGTTGAAGTTATTCAGTCAGTTACGACGTAGGACTTCGTGTACATCAGTACTTAAGTTCATGTTGTCGTATCACATAGATACACAGATATGAAATTGTCGATTCAAGTCCTATAGTAGTAGATGTAGTAAACATATTAGCGGTAATCAAGAAGATTAGGGTTCGACGATATTATTCAAGTGAGATAAATTTAGAAAGAGAAAGATAGAGGTCATGAGGAATTCTGAAGATTACAATTTCAGAGAACGCAAACAATGGATGCATCTGCATGATTGCAAATGATTTCGAACCATGTCGTTCAAGGTCTCTAACCATCGCCTCGTGGACCCCAATCAGGTCGGTAGTCTACATCTACCAACATGACTCAGTCCACTTATCAGTGACTTTGTGACTATCCTGCCTGATCTAATCAATCCAGTTGTATAGAAACTTTGTCGCTATAACCCTCTATGAAGACGATTTTTTAATTCACTAAGTAGAGGATATCCTTTTACAATATTCTAACACAGAAATGATTCTGGTTACAAACTGGCATTCTGACACTTATAAGATAAAGAAATCATCACTGTAACCGGTGTATAATAATATCGTCAAAAACAAAGTTCATCATGGAGCACAGCGGACATGCAACAAAAACAAAGCACAATCATGCTACAGCCGACTATCAGATACAGTCATATTCATGAAGATGTTATTAGTGTATATGAGACAGAAATTGTTGGTAGCAGATAAATTTATGAAACTCATATAACCATCTATTTATAACAATCAAAAATTCATCAACAATTTGCTCAGTAATCTTAATTTGTGAAATTAACTTCAGAGTAAAGATGTATTTCTTTGTGTCAATATTCATGGTACCAGAAACACTTGATCTTAAAAAAATACGAAGCTACGGTGGTGGTAATCGCTTAAAACTGGAGTTCAGATAATGTAACTGCTAGTTATACATTTCAACGAGGGACGTGTGAAAACTTGATTCCATTGAAATTAAATTGTATGAATCACGCCAATACTACAGTCCTATTTTGAACAACACAGAGCAGCCTTAAGTAGCATCTATTCGATCCAGTCAATTAATACAACGACAGTGAACTTCGTATGTACGTACATCAGTTCAAGTCACCTTACCACGCTATAACAGAGACGCAATTGTCAATTCATACTACAGTAATAGATATGATTATCTAGTTGATTAACTGAATGAGCAACTATCATCCTACTGAGTCATTCAGTCAGTTACAACGTAGAACTTCGTATGTACGTACATCAGTTCAGGCCGCCATACCACATTAACACAGAGACGCAACTGTCAGTTCAAATCCCATAGTGGTAGAGACAGAAGTACTAGTGGTGGAAAAGATTAGGGGTCGAACATACTAATCAAGAAGCATAATTCAGTGAAAGGGATTTGAGAATAGAAAGATAAAGGTGAGGAGGAATTCAGATTATAATTTGAGAAAACACAAAGAGGGGATGCACCATTCTTTTCAGGTTCTTCACCCGACCGAAGCTGCTACCTTGACGTGGTGGTCGGGGTTGCCTACGATGATGACCCAACCGAGCTATATTGGCTGGAACATGTGTTCCTGAAGGTTCTACCATGCCAGGCAGGTCGGGAGAACGATCAGACTAAAAGCAGCTACTCAAGGTCTCACGGCGAAGTCGTACTGCTGACTGACTGCAGAAGGGTGTGACAGCAGTAAGGAGTTTCCCTCGGATAACCAGCATCGGCAGTGATGTTTCTGCCTTCTCACAAGGAAGGAAGGGTTAGAAAAGGTCGACCCTAAAAATGTCACACCTCCCCTACCTCACGGATTTCCGTCTCCGGCAGTAAGGGTGCCCACTAAGGGCTTTCAAGAGCGGAGCCAATCCTCAAAAAACCTTTCATAAAAAGGCCGTGGGTGATCGGCCTCAAGCAGTTGTCCCTTGGGCTCTGCGGTCACGCGTCCAGGTCTCCAAGACCAACACTAACCTATCTTCCTTTCAGGTTCCTCAAGAAGCAACCTCCCACGATGTGGGCAGCCGGGAAGTGACAACCGCCCTTGTACCCGTACCAGCACACGAAACGAAATCGGTCAAAATCAAATCCTTCCTACACCCCGTAGAATCCTACTGAATTAATAAGTTTTTCAACAGAGCACAAACACGATGAACTATCTGAAAAAACTGATTCAGGTTTGCTCTTTTTTCTAAGAAACAAATTCACTAATCATAACTGTTGGGAATGCTAGATCCCCAAAACTCACTTGGAAAATGCCCTAATTTCGTAATTTATTGCTGAAATGTTGAATTTTAATGTTTACGCGCCCAAAGACAACTAGTTGACCTTCAGCTTATATATTCCCCACTCGGAAAATCTTTGTCTGTCAATGGTTGACAGATTATTTTAGTACACTTTTTTGTGACACTCACCAAAGGCGTTTCATAATTGTATATATAAACTTGAGTTGTGCTTGCTGACTTCACATTTTCTGAGTGCCTGTGGAATACATTGTCTCTACGTCTTATCAAGAGTTATTCCTTTAGTCAGAGGGACTCGGAGACGATTGGATTAAAGTAGTAGCCTACCCTACTATCACTGAATCATTGCTCTTCGCCCTCTCGTTTACCGAGTAAGATGAACTCATCATAGCAATCAAGCATATCAATGCCCTTAGAATATTTAATCCCCCAAGAATAGAGATAAACCAATTTTGATTTTAAACATGGAGAAGGAGAGAGAGAGCGAGATTACACGACGTGAGCAAACCAATTTCCCATGGATGATAATCAACTTGTTTCAGGAAAGAGATTTGAAAGAATAATATAGTGCATATTATTATTATTATCAGTATTATTAATATTATTTGAACAGTTAAGAGAGATGTTGTCATTCAGTCACGCATTCATTCATTCAAATTAAATCAACCAATCAGTCAATTTTTTCCTTTCTCTATTGCAAGCAAATAATCAGACATGATTATCAATATTAATTTTTTTTTTAATCAAAGAGGAAAATAGGAGTTTCTGTCATTGGCGGCAGGAGAGGGAGATAGAAAAAAAACGAAAACAAAGAAGTAATCGTACTCGTCCTCGTCGTCGTAATAGTCGTAGTAGTAGTAGTAGTATGCATATACACACCAATAATAACAACGTCACAATTGACACATTGTTGATTAATACAACAACAACTCTCAATCTCAATCTCATGAATTGTGGAATGCAAAAAGCAAAAAAAGGAAAAGAATGAAAATTGGAGAGGAGGAAAATAAAATAAAACAACCCGACAACCAGGCAAACAAACAAACAGAGCATCCACCATTCTCTTGCATCACATACACACACAAAATCTGATGATGGAGTAAAATAACTATAAAGAGATGTGTTTTTTTCTTTTTTTTATCAAACAAAAGTAAAATTGTAGTAATTCATGTATAGAGAGTAACAGGAAAAGAGAAAAAAAATGTACGTCAAACAATTATTATTGTTATTATTATCATTATCACCTCGTGTAAGATGGTCAAGCGAGGAAACACGTGGGTGTGTCTGTGTGTGTGTGAGAGAGAAGGGGTAAAGGTAATCATCAAGGAAAAAAAGTGTGAAGATGACAGGATGACATGCAAATATATATATATATATATATATATATATATATATCAGATTAGGCTTTCCTACAAGTTATTCTGGATAAGTGTATTTAACGTGTACAAACAGTGTTTATTTTTTTTAATTTGGCGACGATAATTCACATCTTCTAGTGGATAGAGAGAGAGAGATACCAGGAATGATAATGTTTGTTTGTTAGTTTTTTGGTAATAAACTACTCTTCGGGGTTTACTTTGTTGTCATCATTGTAACAAATTCTGAAAATAGGAATAGGCAACGCGATAACACACAAATAATCGCCAAAATTGGACATCTATTTATCTATCACCAACAAAACTAGCACGTACTACTACACATATTTTCCCGGAAAAACAAAACACATCAACGAAATGAACGAATGATTGGAACTATGTAATGATACTACTCAGTTGGACAATTAAACACTTACAACATAAGCATGCATTGACATTTGTAAAACACAGAACAAGGACAAGACCGACTGATAATACGACAGACATAAAAGCAGGGGTAATTACACGACATATTTCCTATTTAAATAAATAATAAGTAATAAATAACCGACCTACTTTATTGTTACTACAAGAGCAAATCGTCGTCAATGCTCAATTTGAATAAGCCTAAGGCGCTGTTTTTGACAAATCATTCTGTGGAAAAATGTAGTTAGGTACATAACACGCGCAGAAAACTTTCATCGTTACTAATTTCCAAAGCAACAGTAATTACCAGTTCGATCGCAGCGAAAAACGAAAGGCAAGAATTAAAATCTCTCTATATTCAACATAACACTTTTCAGCTGGTTGATTTAAATACGCCAAAGACTTATTATAATAGTATCCCAGACGTACAATCGGCCACGGCAATCAACCAATTGTAAATTTATCTTAGTTTTTCCTACAGAAGGTCAGTCACGGCTCGGATAACGTCTCTTCTAGCCATGATAAACTGAATGACACGGGATCGAATCTGTCCAGCATTATTAGTTCCCCCTCAAGACTACAGGCACATCGTGTTGACAAGCATCAAATACAGCATGAAATCTAGGCCTAGAGTTTGCCCAGACAGATACAACACAGAACTTCGTACGTATATACATCAGTTCAAGTTGCCATACCGCTTCAGCACAGAGACGCAAATGTCAGTTCGAATCCAGTGGTAGCGATAGTAGAAGTATTAGCTGTAATGGAAAAGATTAGGGTATAATTCAGTGAGATAAAGTTAGGAAGAGAAAGATAGATATGATGAGGAATTCAGGAGATTAGTAGTTGGGAGGACACAAAGAGTGGATGCACCTGCACCAATGCAAACGGTTTTGAGCCATGTCATTCAAAGTCTCTAACCATCGATTACTAACATCTCGCGGACCCCAACCAGGTAGGTAGGTAGCCTACATCTACCAAAATGATTCAGTCCACTTGTCAGTGACTTCATGGATTTCTGCCATGTTTTGGTCTAGTTGCCCCCTAGAGTGTGCCCCAGTAACTACCTCCACCTCCAAACACCCACCACCTTAACTATACCACAACACAGTGCACACGATATCGTATCACCACCTAAGACTAATGGCCATCAGATTACACAACTTGACCAACACAGAGAATCCGATTAGCACTAAGCACACAACCTGACATACACTGGTCCTACTAAACTTCATTCAGTCAGTCAGTCAATGGTCGATGAATTGTGCATATATATTTTGAACAATTTTTTTGTGGGAGGGGGGTTAGGGAAGCAAAAACAAACAAACGGAAAAAAATAGCCCAGAGCATTATTAAACAACAAGGAAAATTCAAACTGTTATCATCATTATCATTATCATCATCATTCACTTAGTTTGTTTTGTTTGTTTTTTTAAATACAACACATGCGTATTACACAATGGAGCCAGTCAAAAATACGGCACAATCACAAAGTCGCTTTACACAGACATTGATTGGGGTGGGTGTTTGCTCGAAAAGAGAGCATTCAGCTGAAAGATTTGTGATGAAAATGTTTAGTTTTTTTTATTATTAATTTATTTTTGGTGTAATTATGTTGGTGCTGGTGTTGTGGTTGTTATTGTGGTTGTTGTGCTTTTATTGTTCAGTGTAGTATATTCTCATTTCGCCGTCATCATTTTCACGAACTCTGTCGATGATGTGAATGCACAGTCGGGATTAAATTTTCCAATGATCGTAGTAGATACACGGGGGGGAAGGCGGAGGCCATCATATACGAATACCATCATTAGATTTAAGTCGAATGAAGTGAACATGACAATGCACCGCAGATGTGTAGGGTAGAAAAGACAACAATGAAATTGCGAAATTTTAACAACATATAATATATATACGCACATATATATATACATATATATACATAGTTATATACACATACGACGGACAACATGAACAAACAAACAGCTACCAACACTGCTACTACTAAATAACAACTACACATTAAAAAACACAACCAAATCTACAAAAAAAATTCAACTACTACAATACAATTTTTCTCAAAAGAAAAAGAGAAACGACAAATGCGAAAATTTACCTTCATAATTTACTTGACCGTCACCATCGATATCGGCTTCACGTATCATTTCGTCGACTTCTTCATCGGTTAACTTTTCGCCTAAATTAGTCATTACATGCCTGTGGAAAGAAAAATAGACAAAGAGATGAGACATAAAAAAGGGTTATGAGCATTCATGGTAGCAAATATTCTCTATATAGACTATATTAAAGTTTTGGAAGACTATTTGAAGTACATAGAGAGCTGGTGTTTTTCTTTTTCGGGATTACAAGTTTTATTCCACAAGACTTTACTTTTTACCACAAGATTTGTTTAGTTATTCCTGCATGGTGTTTCGTTCTCTGAGCTGGAACGAAACACTATCATATACCACATTAGCACGGAGACGCAATTGTCACTTCAAATCCCATAGAAGTATTAGCAGTAATCGAAGAGATTAAGGTCCGCAGTGTGACATTTTTAGGGTCGACTTTTCTAAGTCCTTCCTTCCTTGTGAGAAGGAAGCAACACCTTACTGCCGTCACACCCCTCTACAGTCAGCAGTACGACTTCGTCCTTAGAACTTGAGTAGCTGCTTTTAGTCTTATCGTTCTCTAATCGACCTGCCTGGCATGGTAGAACCTGCAGAAACACATGTTTCAGCCAACAGAGCTCGATTGGGTCATCACGGTAGGCAACCCCGACCACCACGTCAAAGTAGCAGATAGTCGGGAAACATATTGTCACAGACTAGCATAAGTTGTAATATTTTCCTTAGCGAAATTATAGGATACTGACAAAAGTTCAGATTTAAAATGTATATCAAGTGATTAGCTGCTTCGCATCTTTATCCCAATACAGGTTTCATCACTGTTCTCTTTCCTTGTAGGCCATCTTTTTTCACGTCATAATGTTTAAGACACTGATTTCAAATTACGCATCTTTTGTTTCTGCAAAGAACATACAAGAAAGGTGAACACACCTACTGATCTATAATCAGAAATTCTGCTATCTAAAGTAGGCAGCAGTTTTGATGAATAATCATCAGACGTGCAGTATGCAAGATGGTTGTTTCAATACTCAACTGGAAAAGACCCTTTGAAACTCTTTTCGCCGAAACTCAGCGTTTAACTGACAAGGATAAATAAAGCTGATTAACGAATCTCTTATTAAGAATGCATAATAAGAGGATAACTTCTCAAACTTAGCATTTTCCTTTTAAAGATGGACATATAGTGGTGTCACACTAAAGTTTGAACCGGAAATCAATGACGACCAACAATAATCAGTCAGTTAGTCAGTTGCAACGTAGAACTTCGTACATCAGTTCATGTCGCCATACCACATCAGCGCAGAGATGTAATTGTCAATTCAAATCCAATAGTAGAAGAGGTAGTACGGGTATTAGAAGTAATCGGAAAAAATAATAATTTGCACACAAATGTACTCTTAATTTTCATCCTAGTCGATTAATACTACATAAACTTGTTACAGTAATGATACCAAACGATGCGTACTACGTAATAGTACGATATTGTGAACAAATAAAGGAGCAAGCGAATAGATACCATGTGTGTAAGACAGTCAAATGGAATATACATGAGTGCTGACAAATTCTGTAATCTTCGGTAACAACTGAACGATCGCATGTGACATTGATATTGAGCCGTGTCTGATGATAGCAAAGATACTAAGCCAACTATGGAAGAAGTTTAGAAAAACCGTCGCCAACCTTAACCAGGTAGTCTACATCTACTAACATGGCTAAGTACAGTTGTCAGTGACCTCATGGATTTATGCCATATTTTGAATTGGAAGCCCCTGGTTTTCTTACAGCCCACCCCTACATCAGAAAGCATCGCTCGTTGAAGTAGTTGGTGGTTAGACATAAGTGACAGCATCTTCACCAGATAGAACTAAGTCATCAGCATATTCCAAGTCTATAAGTGAATCTCCCGGCAAAATTTCAATTCCTGGGAAGTCAGATAATGAAAGTGTTGTATCTACAAGCACGTCAACGACAAAGTTAAACAAGAATGTGGAAAGTGAACAGCCCTGATGGGCACCATTTGAAGTAATCAATCCTGATGATAGTTCGCCATAAGATCTCACTCGACCAGTGGTGTTCGAGTAGCGAGCTTGTACAAGGTTAATCTATTTCCTTGGTATTCCTTCTAATGATAGACTGCCACAGAACCTCAGGATCAATAGGATCAAACATTGCCTTAGGGTCAAAGAATGCGACTGTCATTGGACGTCTAAACGTGTATGTTCTAAGACCTGACGTATTGTGGATTCCTGGTCAATACAGCCACGTCCAGGTCTGAAATCAACCTGAGTCTCCACTTCAAAATCTCTTGTTAGGCGTCCAAGTATTATTGTAGCTAATACTTTAGACACCATATTATTTATTAAGTGAAGTAGAGGTTAGACAGTTAAAACATATCACTGACATAAAATAGATTATCAATAGAATTCGCTCAAGCAACCCGACTGTTAGCTAGTCATGACTATCATGAAGCAAGTTACTGATGAGCATTTGCCTATGTTGCCTCATAATCTAAGTAAGAAGCGACAAGGTTATCAAAATGATTACCAAAGGTGTCAAAATAATGGTAGCATTAATAAGAATAGGGCTGAACACTGAAAAGTGAACATGACAAACAGAAGGAGAAATTTGGAGGAAAAAAGGTAGGAGATAACATCGGAGCGAGCAGATAAACCTGCATTATAACAATATTGTTAAACTTATGTCAAATAAGGTAAAACATTTCCGCTATCAGAAACCCTGAAATTTCACTGCGTTGACTTATATTGTTTTCACCTAACGTCATTAGCAAGACGTGTGCTCTCCATACCTGGAGTCTTGACTAAAACTCTATACAATCATGTCAGTTAGGGAATTGAGGTAACCTCAAAATTGCTTTATAGAACATAATCGCGATTATCTGTTTTAACTCCACTTACACAACTCCTGATAAGAACTAGTTTTATATACAAAAAGACATTGATTAGAATAGTAGTCCTTGATAGTGAATGCAATAAGCCATCATTGAGGGATTTAGAGAAACCTTTAGATTGATTAAACGTCGGTGCAAGTTGGCCACTCAGTCAAGAGCAGTGCAAAAATGAAGACACACGTAGCGGTTTGAGTTGCATCAATACACCAGAACGAGGAGATTCAGGGATAGTAAATAATATTACTCAAGAGGAAATTAATCAGAAGAATAAGGGACAGGATGATTTTGAAATACATGATCTAAGGAAAGCTAAGGAGCCAATGTGTGTGTTATTAAGACTGACTTCAAATCATAAAGTACGTATCTTGAACCACTGGTCACAATAATAACACGGACTCTAACCAGGTAAAAGTTGTCTTATTGAGCAAAAAAGGTATCAAGGGTGGACTTACATTTCGCTAGCTATATTTCAAACTACAGAACTCTACAGTTAGGACCAAATACTGTTTTGATTGCAGAAAAACTTTTTTCAATGTTTTTAGTTTCTAATTTGTATGGTTTTCTGTGATTTAGTTTGACGAATCTCCGAATATCAAAGCGAATAAACAGAATGCTAATTGACATAAGGCATTAAGTAGTTAGAATGACCGAGTGACGATTACCCATGGGATCGTACCGCTGACTTAGGCTACTGAATGACTACTGATCAAAGACAAGAACACCAGCCAGAGTTTTTCATGCGAGAAAATAACATACTTGCATAAATAATAGGAATTATAGGATAAACATGATAAATGCCTCAAGTAATTGCAAACTTAGTTTTTAGGTCACTCATTCTTCCATCAATATTAAGACCGGATGGATAGGTCTAATCTTTGGACATCACGGCACTAATGCAATTACGTTCTCTAATTTCCTGTCACACCATGTGCTGTACTAACATCGAGGCTCAAGTTTTTCTTCGACTCAATCTATAGTGCAGTAACGTGGCTTTTAATGGACCATGGGCTTGAATGTAACCATTTTTCTGGTTCCTCCATATCTTGAGAATAATGTTTCATTATGCAACTCATGCTTTGGTCTTACTTGCATACTATTATAGTTTCTGTCAGACGTCAGGACCTCATGATCTATTAGATCGCTATAGTGATTGGTTTGGCCTATGGTAATGGCCCGGTTGACGTCTGTTGGCTGGGTCAGTTGTTCTTCTGGTTTTTCTCATGTCAGGTAGGTCGGTTAAGGAATGGTAAGATTATATGTACAAACTTAGGATCTGAGGAAAAAGTCGTACTAATGATTGCACTGAGATTTGCCCAGTAATAAGCTGTGGTTATACATAGCTAAAGGTATAAGCCATGGGGTTTTGTTGACCTTTAGACAAAGCAAGCATGACAATATTTGCAGAATGTGATGCTTATTATTTTATTACCTTTTACTAAGCAATATACAAGATGTTTAGGGAATGATCTAACCTCACATGTCTACTTTTCATTTCTAAGAGTACTGTTAAACTAACATTATTTGAATATCTTAATACTATTACTTAGAGAAGATAGAAAAGACTCCGAGTCTAAAATTCTAATAATCCGCTTATTCCCAAACTATAATACTTATTTATCATTAAACTTAAGATTGTTGTGAGTTAGAAATAATTAAACACAAATAGTATATAACCAAAGAAGTAGAAATAAAGCAGAATGAGTTCATCGTATTCTGTAAAGGTTGCCATTCTTCACGATAACTAATGGCATTAAATTTGCTGACCTAATCTACTCATTTCCGTATAAAAGTCAACTTGTCCGCAACAAAAACCACTCTGGTCGACACACTAACTAGCCATTATGAAGTAAACAGATATATTGCGATGTTACAGAACATATAATCCAACCATTGAAGTGTGGATATAGTGTACACAAGCGTCCAGAGACCAAAGAATTTGTCTTAAACTAAAAGGTCGCAAGTGTAAATTCAGCTTAAATGTGGTCAGACCATCGAAGAGCACTAGTGGAGACAGGAACCAGTGTGACCGACAGCTGAGCATACGAATATGTACTACTCAGCTAATCAATAAGACAGTTAACATGCCTAGTACACGTCAAGATATTGGTATAAGTTTTCCTGTTTTTGACAAACATGTTCACGATTGTGGGATGGGCCAAAGAGTTTACTCTAACAATCTGCGCAAAGATAGCGGAAAATGCATGTCTAGTAGGATCCGTTTTTACATCCTCTTATTTCAATAAACAAAATGCTTTGGATCAGCCTGATATTTTAAAAGTTGCAAACTAACCGGAGTTCAGCAGCAGAAATGAATCCGTTTCCATCTTTGTCGAAAACGCGGAATGCCTCTCGAATCTCTTCTTCACTGTCTGTATCCTTCATCTTCCTGGCCATCATTGTTAAGAACTCAGGGAAGTCAATTGTGCCATTACCTTAATTTGCTGGTGATTTGATCAACGTGAACTTACCATCAGCATCTACTTCATTGATCATATCCTGTAGTTCAGCCTCTGTAGGATTCTGCCCCAAAGAGCGCATAACTGTACCCAATTCTTTGGTGGTGATTGTACCATCACCATCTTTATCAAACAAGGAAAAAGCTTCCTTAAACTCAGCAATCTGTTCCTCTGTTAATTGGTCAGCCTGATATGGACAATATACAGCAGAAACGTAGGAACCTACCATTATTGTGGATATAAGTGCGCAAACCGTAACCAAGCGAGCACGATAACCCGTAACAAGACCGCTTGCAATCGACAGAAAACTTAAACACGAAACAAGACTTAGTGGTTATTTAAAATCATCGATGCATGTAAAAAATCAGTAAACTGATCTATTTTTTTGTTAGCATTGCAAAAATAGCTGTGTGCAAATAAGTTTCTTCATACCGCGCAATATGAAATGTGAGGTGTGTAACCATTTGAAATCTTCATGTTAACCACTCCTAGTTTCGCTTTCCAGATTCCCAGGGTCCAAAGCTTTGTTTTATTATTACCTTTAATAGGCATGAACGTATTTCACGCTCTTTGCTGGTCGTCAGTTCTCCTTTTATTCCCGTATTTTCCAGTAATCTCCACTCACCATTCTCTGCATGCTTTCCTTATACACAAAATACCTTCCGGCTGATCTCCAACCACCAAAGGAATTTGGAGGTATTTCACAAAGTTCTTAGCACGAATGGCTGAAGCTTCTGTATGGAAGCAATTCGTTGTCCTGCTGGCTATGAGCTGGTTGTCGATCGGAACTCGTATGCGATTGATTGTGCCTGTTTTACTTAACTATAGATCCTGATCATTTCGTGAACTAAAAGTGTTATTTAAATGATGAGTTCTCTCCGTACATGTCTGCATGTCTCGTGGAAAAAATCCTACAGATACGACGAGTCTTCTGGAACTCTATACTTCGAAGCACAAGGACCTTCCAGGGAAATCTCCCACCATCGATCCATTCTTATTGAATGGAGAAAGCAGCAAAAATACATCGAAGTAATTATCCGCATCGCGCCATGGTCTTCCTGAGAGTGAACCCATAGAACTCATCAACAGATGAATAAGGTGGATACTGTCAAAGTAGTAGTCCACGTGCCTGTGCCAATTTCTGGAGGTCCAAAGTCAACGGACCCCAGCATGATATCCAAAAGTTTAAAACTAAACCACTCGAAAGATACAATCCGGTTCATTCGTCTACTTTTCGGATAGGCCAGTATAAATGTCGTCTCGGACAGTTTCCCAGTATCAGCAATGAGGTATTATAATGTTACAGAAGGACCTTGCTTTATTTAATTGCCCACCGTTAACATTAATCGTATTATACTTATTGAGTCTGGACTATTTGTTTTACACAGACCTTGAGGTTGTCTGCTGAAAACTGTTTTACGCGTTGAGACCGACTGTTTTGGAAATATATCTTATAAGACAAATCTCACACCCGGCAAAACCATGATGTCTAAACTTATATCAGTAATTGACTGTGGAGTATATTACTTGCACATTTTAAACTCTTCTGAACCGGAGTATCCCAAATAAGAACGTTGTTCAGTTTAACTATTCGTAACTTCTATCATAATGAATCTAGGATCATTATTTACATGATGCGTAAGGCTTATCTGATATAGCTGAGCAGCAAACCACTTAAGACTAACTCATTCGTTAACTATCTCACCCGATGCAATACTCTTTAACTTAAATCACTGTAAAAAAGAAAGCTGAATTCCAATGTGTCCTTTTACTCCAAGCTTTTACATAATCCTGACCCTAGATCCATGTATATGTACGACTTCTGTGATAAATTATCTACGATCAGAATGAAATATACAAAACAAAAACTCTAACATGGAACAACCTTCCTTCCAAAACAAACGTTGGAGATGGAATGTGTGCGTTTGCATGACTTGATGAGGATCTCGTTTACACTGGAAGTAAACATTAACTTACTTATACTTGTTACCTACTCAGAGCATAGGCTGTCCACCTGTATTTTCCAACCTACTCTGTACTCCACGTTCCTTTATGGTTCTGTCTAATTTTCGACCGTTCGTCTCATGTCGGCCCCCACTTCTCGGCGTAATGTGTTCCTTGGTCTTCCTCTTTTTCTTTAACTTCGGTAACTCCAAATGAGGGGCTGTCTTGTGACGCAGTTGGTTGCTTTCTGAAATGTGTGTCCTATCGACTTCCAGAACCTCCTGCTGATTTCTTCAACTGCTGGAGGAATCCGGTTCGTTTTCTCCCAGAGTAGGTTGTTGCTCATGGTGTCTGACCAACGTATTTTACGTATTTTTACGTAAACAATTGTTAACAAACACTTGTATCTTGTGGATGATGGCTTTCGTGGTTCTCGAAGTTTCCGCCCCTTACAGTCAAACTGTTTTGATATTTGTATTGAAAGTTCGGACTTCGGACGTCTTCATAATCCAGTCGATCACCAGAAGAAAGAGAAAGGGTGAGAGTAAGCAACCGTGCCTCAAACCGGTCTTCACATCGAGAGAGTATGTTAGCTGTCCTCCGTGCACGATTTTGCAGTTAAATCCATCATAAGAATACCGTATGATGTTAACTATCTTCTCGGGCACGCCGTGGTGTCGATGAAGCCACCAGTGTTGTCCTGTCCACGCTATCAAATGCTTTTCCGTAGTCAATGAGGGTGATATTGAGTGGTGTGTTCCATTCAAATGTTTGTTCTATAATGACCCGTAATATTGCAGTATGGTCGGTACAAAGTCGATCCTTGCGAAATCCAACCTGTTGATCCCGAAACTGGACGTCTACGAAGTCCTTCATTCTGTTTAACATTACCCTATTGAAGACTGCCTGGTACTGAGGGGAGAGTGATACCTCTGTAGTTCTAACACTTGCTGAGATCGCCTTTCTTTGGTATTTTGATCAGGTATCATTTCCAGTCTTCTGGTACTTATTCTTCATCCCACATCTTTTTGAAGAGAGTATAGAACATTTTTGCAGTTGCTGCTACGTCCGCTTTCGGCACCTCAGTTGGAATGTTGTCCGATTGCGCTGCTTTGCCGCTATCTATCTGTCTGATGGTCATACTGCTCTCCTCAAATGTTGGTGGGCCAACATTGACTGGGAGGTCCTTGGATGTTGTTTCGATTTTTGGTGGGTTCAGTGGTGCTGATCGATTCAAGAGTAGGTGAACTCATCAGCGCCCTGCTTGTGCATCTCTGTCTCCTAACCCGTCTAAGTCAAATCTAATTTTGAGCTGACTTTTTTTATATTCTCTCTTAAGTCACATTGAATTCTTCTATGAGGCTACATGTCCTCTTTAATTTTCACTTGACATGGAGAAATAGTTTATTGGGTCGGTCGACACTGCTCAACTACAGCTGGCTGGTAAGAACGCACTATGCTAGTTCACCGAGTCGTCGTGAAAACCGCGTTTTTAAAGAGACAGTGGTCTACATACTGGTCGAAAATCAGCTTTGGTTTTATATGTCAATTACTTCAAAACACATTCCCGGCTTATTTTAACTTCAGTTAATCCGGCAAAACTTATGTCCAGGTTATTTTTGTTCTGCTGTGGATTACGTATGTAATCTATGTTGATGGTTGCTGGCATACTCGAGTTTGACGGAAATATTTTAATCTCCTGACATAATTCGAAATCACGCTCCAGTCGGATTATACCATCGTCATAACTAGGTGACCTGTGCGCTTAGTAGTTAACACAAATCCCTCTTGCTATGTATCTTTCGATGTTCGGTTAAAACTTCAATAATCTAGGAGGCAGTGGTTCGCCTGGTGTTGGCTGGTAAGAAAGTTGATGGTAGTTGCAAGAGTGATTTGAGCACTGACAGTGGAGAAATCGCCAGTGTTGTAAATGTGGAAAGAGCTAAGCCACCGTCTACGAAATATATGAAATGAAGACTTCTTTTAAATCAAAGAGAGAAATATTATTTGACGCTGGTGGTCAAGACTTTGAGGTTGAACTTTAAGACCAGTTGAAAACCGTCATCGTTATACAGACCTCTACGAGGCCTACGAGCAGCAAAAACTAAAGAATTCAGGTTTCTCCCGTGCCCTATCCTCTAAGTGGTGGTTCTTTGGTGGTACCTTTGCAATCTGACCTTAAGTCTGAGTCTATCTGCAGCGGATAAAGCACTCTGACTACCGAGGACGTCATAAATCATCTAGAATCTCAAAATATGCACAACACAGCTGTGATTACCGGTCTAGCAAAAGATAATGATTGGAGTTAAGTCATGATAAAAACGGTTAAATATGGTTAATGAAATGCCAATTTCCAAGTAATTTTAAAAAGTATCTGCTGGGTAATTGTTCGGTCTTAAACATGAATATTTTCTGTTCTGCTCCTCGCCCCGTTCTCTTTATTGCTCCTTTTCAGCACTTTATTCCAATCCTTAAATATTAGTCTGGATATTTTCCGAAGACTTGGTTACTTTTCCCAGGAGCCTGTAAATTTATTATATGAACACCAAGCAGATCTTAGCACACTGACGTCCTCAATTCTTGCTATATGCAGACCTCGCTCTATCTTGCATTGTTTCGCAATCATAAACAGTTCGCTGAAATGCAACCGTTGTAACTCGTGCCAGTTATCTGCAATGTACATTTCAGAGTATGGAAAATTTTCTGTTGTAACGCTTGCTTAAGTGATTCCCAGCTAATTCCTATTGCCTAGTATTCTCTGGTCACAATACACTGGACAAGTTCCAAAGAATCAAAAACACGGTGGAACAGGAAAAGAGGGTAGGAGTAAACTTATCCGTTAGAAATGTTATCTCCTTTATCATTTTCGGAAACGTACCACATAAAAAGGGAACACACGAATTAGATAGTTGCCTCTCGGAGTGCACAGGATAAGAGCTACCGATTGACTTGGTTCATCGCAGCCCAAACTGTAAGGTGAATAGGTTTTTTATAAGACAAGCGTAACACTTAGTCCTTTGATGAGTGACGTTTCATTTTGGGGGACTCTCAAACACCCTCGGTATACAGGAGAAAATTAAGGACTGCATCGACTGAAAATTCTTTCTAACCGAGCCATCTGATGCAGTCACTACAAGTGTCCTACTTTAAAATATCAAAGAAGCAACTCTCCGCATACCGAATCCTCTTTACTAGGCCTCATATTATGTGGATGACATCTAGAATCGCGATAACATGCAACGCCTACGTAAAAGTGGCCATGCAACTCTAATTCTTGATTTCCATATCGTCATCGGCCAAAAGGTGTCAGCTCAGAGAAGACTGAAAGTTTGGAGGGCAAAAACTGAAGAGATCATTCACTCAGTATCCTCAGTGGACTGGGCAATAGAACCGGAATCCCCCATTGAAACAGTTTAGGTACTCAAAAATTTGCTCACAAGAATCTCAGGCTTTGGATCTCCGTTTTATTCTTGGATTTTCAACTCACTATGAGCACCATTCTACTTAGTTCGATTTTCAGGTGACCAGTCTGGCAGGATACACATACTAACTTTGGGATTCGCCTTTCTTTTGTTTCACCTCCAAACCATTTAGTAAATCTTATTTTCTCATTAAATCTTCTAGGATGTCTCTCCCCTGATTAATCGTGCTGACGAGGAAAGTCTTAGCCTTTCGTACAACGGTAAGAGGTAGGCTAATAACTTTAGTAAAATCCCTCACAGTTTCTGTGTTTGGTGTCAGACTCATTGACTGAGCATCGTCACTCGGTAACTTCTTTATCTGGGAGAAAAGCTGCAAAGCCTCATATAAAAATTGCATTGTTAAGGTAAGATTCTCTGCATAACTATAGGTAGCTGGTTTTCAGCAATCTTCATACATAGCTGGTAGTAAATTGGTATATATTTTATAGAACTATTATCAACGACCATTGCACTGCTTCGAATCTTCGAAAACAAAGAGATAAAATGATTAACCTGACTGGTGACTCCGAACGACTTCTTTAACATGCACGATGATTGTAAACCACGAAAAAGTTAAATAAATTCAATCAAAAAAAATTGAAAACGATGGATTTTATTGGATAACTGTAAAAATCACCAAAAATGACTTAAACTGGCTGCATTTAAAGTAACCAGACTTAAACAAGATTAAAAATCCCAGCACTGCGAAACAAACAGAAAAAATGGTAAATTCGAACATAAAGAACTGTAAATAATGAAAGCTAAGGCATCAAGCGTGTGAGGAAGTACTGAAAACGTCCAGGTATTACTAAAACCAGTTATTGTAGGATAAATATGGCCTCTCGAAAGATAAAGGGAACAGAAACCCATCCCAAAACGTAGAAAAATACACTCCCTGAATACTCAGGAATGATTTTGGACCTGATAAATCTCTTTTACTTCCTTCCAGGTCAAAAAAGTCAGAGGAAATAGCGAGAGGTCAAAAGACAAGGATGAACAAAATATACTTTGCACATAGGTTTCAGCGCTGAGTCACTAGCACCAAGATCCTATTACTCGTAGTGATGCTGGCTGCTTCAGTTGATTTACTCAACAGATGACTAAAATTACATAGTCTTGCTATAAAAAGACAAATAAATTAGTCGACCCACTATCCTCAACACATAATGCTGTATTTGAATCAATATCTGCTCACCAAAGATTGTCTTCTGAATTTCGGAGGCGCTCCATATAATGCTCCGACTACTGACCTTGCGTTCCTTGCCTAAGAGGCTTGTTACGAATATCAGGAATTATAACCCTGATGCAAGTTATAAAAATGAACACGGGTCATCGTACTACCTTATCCCAGAGATACCTAGTGAGTCCTATCTATCAAAATCCATTCTGGAACCGCTGAACATTTCGAAGTAAGCTTGTTTATAAACTGTTTGTTATTTGAACAGTTTAGAAGACCTAAAACCTGATAAAGTTTTCGGTGGAGTTTCAAGACTTATTATGAACTATCAAGTTTCATTATCAAAGCTGTCAGATAGCATCCAAAAAGGAGAAATTTCAAAAAACGACATCACTATAATATCTTCGCTTGAACAAGCATCTTTCCCAGTTGAACAAGCATTTCGCAACCTAAATTGCTTGACCACCGTAAAAAATGATCATATTTGGAACCTGATAGTATCACGTCTATATCAAAAGTTCAAAGCGGCCAGGCGTGAATATTTTCATCGTGATTCAACCATATGTGAAGCTCTTTTGACTCTTAGACAATCGTCCTCAAAGTTGGATGAGTATGAGAAAGGTAATTATACACGTCTTAAATCTGTTTTCTGATTAAACTAAACCTACTGATCACCATAAAAATCGGTCTAATTTGAGGTTTAAGATTTTCAAATCCCATGCTAAACATCACGTGTAATCTAAAAATTACGAAGCTGTCGAAATTCATCGGCATAAATTTGTGTTAGGACATTTTTATACACATGTTTAGGCTTAGGTGCCCAAAAAGTTTGGCGTTCACATTTTATTTAGTCTGATACATGATGCTATGGAAAAACGTGTAATAAAAAAAAACAGATGAAAGATTCCAGTATTCTTTCAGGTTGGATGCCCATCTGAATTCGCTTCAATATGCATAAATATTTATATAATTACAGTGAAATAGATTATGCAATTACAAATCAGGTTAAAATTACAAACTTATAGTAAGATATGTACTAATAGTAATGTGAATAATGAAATAATAAAAATTTCAATCAGCAGTTCAAGATAAGAGATAGGTCAAACTTCGATAAATAGAGTTAAAAGAATCATCACAAAACATTGTCGAGCTTAAGTGGTAAGAAGTGTGTAAATAACTAGGTAGTGATGAGTGTATTCGAAAGGCAAAAGCCCTATTTTATGTGCATCTAAAAATCTAGCTGATCATGTAGAGATATCTCTATATTAAACGTACTAACAAGCAACTTAACCAATAAGTAAATGAATGAACATTTCCTAGCCTGGTTTGGAAAGGACAAAACAAAATCAATATGCAGCTCAATTTTGTCATACCTTATTGACGGTGGTCATACTATAGATAAAACTGTAACGTTTCAATTAAGATATTGAATACTTGCGTCTTTTCCAAACGGGATTAGGTCTCATCTCCTAGATGTAGTAAAAACTATAGGGGTCTGAACCTATTACCCTAGTTTGTGTTCAGAAGTAATTTATGTTACACCTGTCCCTTTCTTGACCAGATATGGCCCAACATACGATTTTATCATTTTCTACATATCACTTTCACCCTTCTTTCGAATATACTCTTCACTACCTAGTTATTTACACACTTCTTACTACTTAAGCCTGATAATGTTTTGTGATGATGCTGACTGAAATTTTTATTATTTCATCATTTACATCACTATTAGTACATATCTTACTATCAGTTTGCACTTTTTACCTGATCTGTAGTCACAATCTATTTCACTGAATCATTGACGTGTCGGTTCAATGCTTTCATATAAATATTCATATATATTGAAATGAATCCAGATGAGGATCCAACACAAAAGAAATATTAGTCTTTTGAATCCTTAGTTTCCATTTTCATGCTTGAAATCTTTTCCTGTTCTGACTGATAAGTAATATATAACTTTGTTTGTGTGTTCACTAAATTTCAAATGTTTTGTAGTGTGTATAAATATCGCATCGATAGAAGCATTCATTGGTTCACAGGTTTTCAAATAAATTAGTAGTTATCGTTTTTTCTACTTTTCGTTTTATGATTTGTTTTTAGTTAGTCAGTCAGTCAGATGCAACGTAGAACTTTGTACGTGAGTACATCAGTTCATGTTGCCAGACCACATCAGCACAGAGATATAATTGTCAATTCAATTCCAATAGTAGAAGAGGTAGTAAAGGTATTAGGAGTAATCGGAGAGGTTAGGATTAGAAGATATTATTATTCAAGAAGTATGATTCAGTGAGAAAAGTTTAGAAAGACAAAAGTAGAGGTGTTGAAGAATCTAGAAGATTAGGGTTTGAGAGAACACAAAGAATAAATGCACCGGCGCCATTGTGAACGATTTTGAGCCATGTCATTCAAGGTCTCTAACCATCGATTATTATCATCTCGTGAACCCCAACCAAGTAGTCGACAATTACCGACATGACTTAGTCCACTCGTCAATGACTTCATGAATTTCTGCCATGTTTTGGTTTGGCCGCCCCTAACTTTCTTCCAACCTACTCCTACACTACAAAACAAAGCTCTTCGAGGCAGTCGGTGGTTAGGCATACGCAGCACATGTCCCAACCACCTCAACTGATGAAGTTTCATTACTTCATCTATTGATCTGCCATTCTTAACTAGCACACGATTCCTAATCTTTAGTTAATAATCAGATCACTTTAATGAAATTGTTACCGTTGTAATTTGTGTATAAACCCAAAAAATAATACTTTGGTTATCTTTTACTTTTAATAATTCTGTTTAATCTCAAAAAAAGCTTTTATTTATTGATTCAGATTGATACTTAAGATCTATTTATTTATTTAAACACAATTATTGCTTCACATGGGCACCATGACAACATAAACAAAGATGAAGAGGTAGAAAAAAGTGAGTGAGTGAATATGATCGAAATGATTGAGAGCAGTCTGTATTAAGAGAAGCAGTTCAACTAAGAAAAAGTACATGTTCTCACTTTTATAAAGAATGTAAAAGGAAACCATGGCAAGACTACCCTTCTATTTCGACCCATGTCTGATAAAGTCTCAAATCACTGAGCTACATCGTCTTTAAGACCCCAACCAAAAGAGTCATGATGGACTGGCAGGTGGAAGTTCTATACAGTCTTCACTTCGCTGCCCAGTATCATAGACTGATCAACGTTGAAGTAGTTCAGTTTGAATTGTATTTGCAGTTTCAGAAGAATTGACTCAGCATCCATATTTGGTGGTAGCATTTAACATTCTAGCTAGTTAGAGATTTGGTTTCTTTAAAACAGGACCGAACTTGCACCATAGGCGAGCTTCTTTGTGAGTTGAAAGTTAAAAGTAGACGAGATAGTGAGGAAATGAGATCAAAAAGTCGAGTAAAGTAAAATAAAAACATGAAGTAAACGACTAATAATTATCTTACAAGTTAGTAGTAATAAAGCCGAATAAATCAATTAATTTCCTTACTAACCATTTTTATATTTTTAAGAGGAATGGGATACTACCAAAGCATTCACACCCAGTGATCCAATTCATAAGACACTAGAGGAACTTTGGGAGGTTCAATCTTTGGCAGCAGGTACCCAGCAATAGGTTAATACGCCACTCAATCCTTCGGTATCCTGCCGCCAATGTACACCATTAGTTTGGGATCAATGTTTTCAACCCTCCTTGGATGAATTCTTGCATCCTCTCCCATAAATAATAAATAACCCATGCTCTTCTAAGAGAGTGCAATGGATTAGATTTTCCTGGCGGTGATTATAAACACTTGATCAAATGATAGCATTTTAAGGAGAGCTGTCTCGTCCTATTACTTACTTACTTACGCCTGTTACCCCCAATGGAGCATAGGCCGCCCACCAGTTTTCTCCAACCAACTCTGTCCTGGGCTTCCCTCTCCAGTTCTGTCCAACTGTTGTTCATTCTTCTCATATCTTTCTCTATTTCTCGGAGTAATGTGTTTCTTGGCCTTCCTCTTTTCCTTTTGCCTTGAGGGTTCCAAGTGACGGGAGGGCTTGTCTTGTGGTGCAGTTAGGTGCTTTTCGTAGTGCGTGTCCTATCCAGTTCCACCGCTTCTTCCTGATTTCCTCCTCCACTGGAATCTGGTTTGTTCTCACCCATAGTAAGTTGTTGCTGATAGTGTCTGGCCAACGAATCCGAAGTATTTTGCTTAGACAACTGTTCACAAATACTTGTATCTTCTGGATGATGGCTTTGGTAGTATTCCAAGTTTCCTCTCCATACAGTAGTACTGTCTTGACATTTGTATTGAAAATCCTGATTTTGGTTTTGTTTGAAAGTTGTTTGGAGTTCCAGATATTTTTCAACTGTAGAAATGCAGCCCTCGCTTTGCCAATCCGCGCCCTCACATCTGCATCGGATCCACCTTTCTCGTCGATGATGCTGCCCAGATATGTAAAGGTGTTAACGTCCTCGAAAGCATCTCCATCAAGAGTGATTTGGTTGGTGCATGTTGTGTTGCATCGGAGAATTTTGCTTTTTCCTTTATATATGTTGAGACCTACTGCTGCTGAGGCTGCTGCTACACTGGTTGTCTTCTCTTGCATTTGTTGTTGCGTGTGAGATAAAAGAGCCAGGTCATCTGCGAATTCCAGATCGTCCAGCTGCGTCCTAACTGTCCAGTTGATACCGTGCTTCCCTCCAGATGTCGACGTCTTCATAATCCAGTCGATGACCAGGAGAAAGAAAGGGTGAGAGTAAGCAATCTTACCTGACATCGGTCTTCACCTCGAAAGAGTCAGCTAAAAGACAACTATAAATTCGATAAACGATGTGTAGTATATTAAAGGTTTTTAATTTGGAAATAAATTTTTTTAAAAAAAATTGTACTATTTTAGATTTCGACCCATCTATATATATATATATATATATATATATATATATATATATATATATATACAACAGATGCTGAAGATTTCGAGTAATATTTATGTTTTCAAATTATCATTTTAAGATATTTTATAATTTTAGGTTTATTAGATGTATGGATATATGATTGTTGGTTGATGGGCACTGGTTTATTAGTTGCCGGTAATAAATATGGCAAAATCATTTCATTTTCTGAATTAAACGAACTCATTCAAGGCATTAACAATAGTCAAACTACTTCACAGATTACTTCACCAAATGCTCGTAAATCTTTATCAGTAATACATGATAATTATGCTGATGTAGAGAAAGAAGAATGTCAATTTCAAACAATGGTTGCATCTAGTGCTGCTATCTCATTACCTCAATATTATAGTTCAAAATATACTGGTCGTCCAAATATACCGTCGAATTTAGAAATACTCACAGGTGCCACCGATATTAAAGTTGCTGAATCCGACTTGGCTCCATCGGCACCTTATTGGCTACCAGCAGTTTTAGGTGGTAAAGAAGATGGAGGACATATAGCTGGAATGCATGTCAGTTTAGTTTCAAACGCTTTAGTCAGTGAATTCTTAAAACATTGTAGTAATAATGAAGTGAGTTTATTATGTGTCTGCATATTTTTTAATTGAACATTGTGGTATATTAAAACCTGAATGAATGAATACATTACTTCAAGTGGTATCCGTCAGGGATGTCCACTTTTTCCATTTTTGTTTAATTTTGTCATAGACATGCTTTTAGAGTTAACATTATCATCGTCGGACTTCTCAGGAGTGAACCTTCTACCAGGGAGACTCGCTTGTTGACGTATAATATACCTATGACATAGTTCTACTTTGTGAAGATGCTGACAAAATGCATTCTTCTGACTACCTTAAGCTACATGTTCGGGATGCGATTCTCCTCCTCAAAATGCAAAATGTTGCTTCAGGATTGACTTGTATCTGCACCTGAACTAGTGATAAGGAGTGAAGTAGTTTAGCGTGTAGACCACTTCACTTATTTGAGGATTTTCATCAATGCTGATGGCCTGGTGACTGACTAAATCTCAGTACGGATACGGAAAGCTCGATTGGCTTTTGCCAACCTACGTCACTTATGGCGTAGGCAAAATATCCGTTTGCTAACCAAAGGACGAAGTACTATGAGGCAGTTCGCTCCGTCCTACTTAATGGTTGAAACATGGCCGGTGAGAGTAGAGGACATTCGTAAGTTATTAGTATTCGATTATAGAGATGTCTTCGGAGCATTGCTCGAGTATCGTGGGACAACCGAGTAAGCAATGCTATAGTTAGGAAACGGGTGCTAGGTAGGGATGGCAAATCAATAGATGAAGTATTTAAACTTGATCAGTTGAGGTGGTTGGGACATGTGTTACGTATTCCCAATTTGCGAGTGCCTCGTCGAGCTATGTTTTGTGGTTTAGAAGTAGGTTGGGTGAAAGCTAGGGGCGGTCAGATCAAAACATGGCATAAATCCATGAAGTCACTGACAAGTGGACTGAGTCATGTTGGTAGATGTAGGCTACCTGGTTGGTGTCCGCCAGACGAAAGTCACCAATGGTTAGAGACCTTGAACGACATGGCTCAAAATCGCTTGCAATGACTCAGGTGCATTCATTCATTGTGTTCTCTCAAATTCTAATCCTCGAAATTCCTCATCATCTCTATCTTTCTCTTTCTAAATTTACCTCACTGAATTATACTTTTCGAATAACATCTTATAACCCTAATCTCTCCGATTACTTCTAATACTTTTACTACCTCTACTCTTATGAGATTTAAATTGACAATTTCATCTTTCTGTGTTATTGTGGTATGGTAACTTGAATCGATATACTTCTTTTCAAAGTTATAAGTTCTTGCTAACTGACTTATTGTTGATTAATCGTAGAAATGTTTAAAAACTTCTTCCAAAATACACATGGTCATTTGTATATATATATTTTAATGAATTTTTCTAATTCTAAATACGTATTATTGTTTGAAATCCAAACACACACACACACACACGCACACTTTGTTGATTAGTTACGCAAAACTGTATGGGAATATTGGGTAAGACGTGCAAGTGGTTATTATTTTGGTCCATCTACTGGTTTATATGCATCGAATGATCAACGTATCAATGATATTCGTCGTTTACGTAAAAATCTTGCAAAATATCTTAATTGTAAAGATTGGTTATCGGTTTTATGGAGTTCACCTTATTCACATACACCTTCATCACCTGATCAATTAGTGAATGATGTTTTGGAACCATTTAGAATTAGTTTAAAACAAATTGGTGAATGTGATTTGAAAATGCTGAAAGAATGGGCTAATGTAAATTTACATTTATATGGTAGGTTGTTTTGTTATGTTTTGTCTTTTTTAGAATTTTTTTCTCCTTGTTTGTTAGTCCAATTAAAACATGGAACTTGGTACAGACAGACATACAGATACAACACAGAACTTCGTACGTTTATGTATATCAGTTCCAGGTTGCCTTACCACATTAGCACAGAGACACAATTGTCAGTTCAAATCCAATAGTGGTAGAGATAGTAGAGAAGTATTAGCAGTAATCAAAGAAGATTAGGGTATATATAATTCAGTGAGATAAAGTTAGAAAGAGAAGAATAGAGATGATGAAGAATTCAGAAGGTTAGAATTTAAAAGAACATAAAGAGTGGATGCACCTGGACCATTGCACCTACGGTCACGCTCCCAGGTCTCTAAGACCGACACTCATCTACTTTCCTTTTCAGGTTCCTCAAGAAACACCCTTCCACGGTGTGGGCAGCTGGGAAGTGACAACCGCCCTCATATCCGTAACAGCACGCGAGACCGAATTGGTCGAAATGGAACTTGATACCTACGTACATGATCAGTTCAAGCTGTCAGATGAAATTCAAGAGTAGTAGAGATATTTACTTACGCCTGTTACCCCTAACCCGCATGCCCAATCCTCCTCGTTTATCCGGGCTTGCAACCAGTAGTGCGTTTATTCTTTGTGTTCTCTCAAATCTTAATCTTCTGTATTCTTCAACCCCTCTAGTTTTGTCTTTGTAAACTTATCTCACTGAATCATATTTCTTGAATAATATCTTCTAATCCTAACCTCTCCGATTACTTCTAATACCTTTACTACCTCTTCTACTCTTGGATTTGAATTGACAATTATATCTCTGTGCTGATGTGGTATGGCAACATGAACTGATGTACTTACGTACCAAGTTCTACGTTGCATCTGACTGACTGACTGACTGCAATTGGTGGTATCGCTAGAAGAGCTCCGGATGAATTTAGTAGTAGATTTAATATCAGTATTATTAGTGATAGGAAAGATTAAGCATCAAAGATAAGATAAGATAAATTAAAAAATGACCAGAAAAAAAAGTTATGAGAGAAGATAAAAAATGGAGTTAAGTTTTAAAATGACGTGAAAGTATGTTTGAGATTGATGACTTGAATGATATGATTTAAATGTTCTAACTAACCAAATTGTTGATTTACTGGGTGCGTTGTTATTCTTGAACTGATGTACATGCGTACGAAGTTCTCTGTTGTTGTTGACTGGCTGATTGACTGACTTGTTACTCTGAAAAAATAGACAGGAAACACATTCTGTATAGTGATCCATGTACTTACCTCCTTATTTACTTACGCCTAATATCCCTAATGGAGCATAGGCCTCTGACCAGCATTCTCCAACCTACTCTGATCTGGGTCTTCTTTTCCAGTTCTAACCAATTGTTATTCATTCTTCTCATGTCTGCCTCCATTTCTCGGCGTAATGAGTTCTTTGGTTTTCCTCTTTTCCTTTGTACCTGAGTGTTTTAACTGAGGGCTTGTCTTGTGACTCAGTCGGGTGCTTTCTGCAATGTGTGTCCTATCCACTTCCAGAACCTGCTCCTGATTTCTACCTCAGTTGGAGGAATCTGGTTTTTTCTCTCACACAGTAGGTTGTTGCTCATGGTGTCTGATCAACGTATCCGACGTATTTTGCGTAGACAACTGTTAACAAACACCTGTATCTTCCGGCTGATGGCTTTAATAGTTTTCTAAGTTTCTGCCTCATACAGTAGAACAGTCTTGACATATGTTTTGAAAATCCTGATTTTGGTGTTGGTAGATATTTGTTTGGAGTTCCAGATGTTATTCAATTTTGGAAGTGCAGCCCTTGCTTTGCCAATCCGCGCATTCACATCTACATCAGATCCACCTTGCTCATCAGTTATGCTGCCCAGATATGTAAACGTTTTAACATCTTCCAAGGCATCTCCATCAAGAGTTACTTGGTTGCCGCACGTTCTGTTGTTTCGAAGGATCTTGCTTTTCCCTTTATGTATGTTGCAACCTACTGTTGCTAAGGGTGATGCTACACTGGTCGTCTTCTTTTGCATTTGTTGTTGCGTGTACGATAGAAGAGCCAAGTCATCTGCGAATTACAGATCGTCCTAACTGTTCAGTTGATACCGTGTTTCACTCCAGATGTTGACATCTTCATAATCCAGTCGATCACCAGGAGAAAGAGAAAGAGTGAGAATAAGCAACTTTGCCTGACACCGGTCTTCACCTTGAACGAGTTTGTAACGCTGCTACGCATAGCTCTTCAGTCCTAGCGGCGTCCAATTCAAATATCCCAATACGACCCAAAATGCTATTTCCCAATCTCCTAGATATCAGAACACAACACAGTGGGATGGAGTTGTTTATTGGGTCGAATACAGAAGAAGAGATAGGCAGGAGAAACGGAATTATTAAGTCTTTCAGATAGTGCGTATTTATACATTAAGGTCGAATAAGAAAGAGCATCAACGTCTGTGACATTGACAGTTTAGGACAACCAATAGAAAAGAACATTTGAATGACATTGACAGTCCAGATGACCAATAAGAGGCAACATTGTGAAGTATTTGACCTTGACAGTTAGAACGATCATAATTTCGGCCAATAGAAATCGACCAATAGGATTATACTTCTAAAAATAGTATCCGTAGGATATTTGGTGAATATCCTAACACCTCTGTGCATGCTTTTGCAGTTTAATCCATCATAAGAATTCCATATGATGTTGACTAACTTGTCAGGTATGATGTAGTGTCCAAGAAGAAGCCTATATATATATATATATATATATATATATATATATATATATATATATAAGAAAAACTATTTCTGATCAAATATTAATCTCATAGATTTCTTTTATTTATTTAGGTAAAACATTAGAACCATGGGATGTTGATTATGCATTGGAACAATATAATTATGCTGTAAATTATAAACATTTTGAAAATATTATCATTCCACCAGACGGTTCATTAATTAATTATCTACATACGGTATTTAGTGAATTAGCAAATCTATTTCATTTTAAATTAACACCACAAATACCAAGATCAACAAGCAAAGATGACACGGATAATGATGTTGATTGTTATGTTGTTGAAAAGTTAGTTTATCATGTGGAAGATTTAACTGATGGGACGGTATTTGGTGAAATAATTATTGATCCTTTTGCTAGGTGAGTAAACTTTTCAGTTGTAGTGTTGTGTTTAATGTATGGTATTGTTACGAATGCAAGTAAACACGTCATTTGATATGCTTGAACTATTACGAGTTCAAGAGAGCGAGGATGGAGGATCCGGCGACACGACAGGCTACTGTAATCCGATTGTTTCAAACCTCCATTGAGTAAAAGAAGAAGAAGGTTTGATGTGAAGTAGTACGTGTATTGTACAAGCTGTTGCAAACGATTTTGAGCCACGTCATCCAAAGTCTGTAAGCATCAGTTACTAATGTCTTTTGTTCATTCCACTTCTCAGTTAGTGTGTCATTTTTCGGTCTGGCCGCCACTAACTTTCTTCCAACATACTCTTACACCACAAAACATGGCTCGCCGAGGCAGTTGGTGATTAGTTGGGTATACACAACACATGTCCCAGTACTGGTTTCCCAACGACATCATTGCTTACTCGGTTGTCCCAGGATATACGAGTAATGCTTCTAAGACACTTATGATCGAATACGAATAGCCTATGAATATCCTCTACTCTTACTGGCCATGTTTTACAACCATTGAGTAGAACAGAACAAACTGTTGCTCAGTAAACTTGTCTTTTGGTTGGTAGACGGATATCTCCATGGTATGTAGATGCTAAGAAATAATTTAATTGTATAGTGATTATAGCCACTACCTTGATGTAGTAGTGGTCGGGTTCGTCTATAGTGACGAACCAAATGTGTTGACCATATAAAACAAGCTGTCTTAAATCATTGTTAAACTCAACTTATCAAATCTGTTATCTGAAGGTGAAGTCATAGTGCCGATTTTTCTACTGGAGTTTGGACGATACTAAGTTATTTCTCTTGAATTACCCCAACTTGTTCAGATATGATGTCTTGTTGTCGAAGGGAACGACTAGAATAGTTTGACCTGATCTCACCGTGTTCCATAGATGATTTCCAGTCAGGAAAGGTATAATTTCAAAAGTACAGAGTTAATGCAACAAAAAGCATTAACAGAAAACCCCGTATATGATTGGTACTTTTCAGTTCTTTTTTTTAAAGAGGGCAGATTAATAGGCAGAGCACTTGTACAAATAGGTTTCTAACCCAAAACACACATTTGATTCAATTTAGGGCATCGAGTCAGTCAGTCAGTCAGTTACAACATAAAAGTCCATACGTACGTACATCAGTTCAAGTTGCCATACCACATTAGCACATAGAGGCAATGGTCAATTCAAATCCCATAGTAGTAGAGGTGGTAGAAGTATTAGCAGTAATCGGGAATTTTAGGGTTCGAGGATATTATTCGAGAAGTATAATCTAGTGAAATAATCTCAAAAAGAGAAAGATAAAGGTGTGTAGAATCCAGATGATTAGGATTTGAGAGAACACGAAGAATGAATGAACCTGTGCCATTGAAAACGGTTATGAGCTACGTCATTCAAACTCTCTAACCACCGGTTAAGATTGTCACGTAGATCCCAACCTGTTAGTCTATACCTACTAACATGGCTCAGTCCCACTGCCAATGACTTCATGGACTGATGCCACATTTTGGTTTGGCTTTCCTCCAACCTATCACTACATCAGAAGACATCGCTCGTTGAGGTAGTCGGTGGGCATACGTACCACATCCCGACCACCTCTAATGAAGAAGATTCACCACTTCATCAGTCAGTCAGTTGCAACGTAGAACTTCGTACGTATGTACATAAGTTTATGTTGCCATACCACATTAGCACAGAGACGCAAATTTCAAATCAAATCCCATAGTGGTAAAGATAGTAGAGGTATTAATGGTAATGAAGAAGACTAGGGTTTGAAGATATTATTCAAGAAGTATAATTCAGTGAGATAAGCTTAGAAAGACAAAGGTAGAGGTGTTGACGAATCCAGATGATTAGGATATGAGAGAGCACAATGAATGGATGCACTTGCGCCATTGCTAATGATTTTGAGCCATGTCGTTCAAGGTCTCTAACCAGTGGTGACTTTCGTCTCGCGGACCCCAACCAGGTAGCCTACATCTACCAACATGACTCAGTCCACTTGTCAATGACTTCATGGATTTATGCCATGTTTTGGTCTGGCCGCCCCTAACTTTCTTCCAACTACACAACACATGTCCTAACCACTTGAACTGATGAAGTTTCAATACTTCATCTACTCATCTGCCATCCTTACCTAGGGCATCGAGTAGTAGTAATAATAGTCGTATCACATGCTATACTATACATACTGTTTCTCTAGTCAGTAGGTATGCTTTTAGGATTCGACTGTGACCAATTCGGTCTCGTGTGCTTTTATGGGTATAGGGGGGGGGAATGTAACTTCCCGGCTGCTCATACCGCGGAAGGGTTCTTCTTGTCAGAAAGGGCATCGGCCTCATGACTTTCAAAGGAACTTGGCTTTCATCATGAGACGCCAACCCACATCTCAACCCTCCTTCTTCTTTATCTGGGCTTGGGATCGGCAGTAGCCCTGAAGGGTCTACAGGCGGAGTTAGTGTCAGGTGGTAGAAATTTATGCGTTAACTATGTTGTGTTTTTCAATTCATTCTCAAATTATTTTTTGAATTATTATTTGACTTGATTTGTAATAATAATAATTATTATTATTATTTTGTGTGTGTGTATGTGCACAGAAGTAACCGTACAGTTCCTGTTGGTGGTAACTTATTTGTTCCTGTTGTTACACGAAATAATTTATCCAATAATGATATTCGTGTACATTCTGGATTTTCTAACTATCCTGTAGCTTATATTCTAGGTAGTTTAAATCAATCTACAGAAACACTGGGAATTTCTTTCAATGTAAGTTGAACATGTAAATTATTGTTTAATTGTAACAAGTGTTTTATTCATTCTGTTTCTCAGCTAGCTGTGTGTATATTATCGAGTGAATTAATCCGGTTAGGATTAATTTGTGTTGTAGGGGTAGGCTGAAAGAAAGCTAGGGTCCACCAAACCAAACATATGGCACAAATTCATAAAGTCACTGACAAGTGGACTGAGTCATGTTGGTAGATGTAGACTACCTACCTGGTTGGGGTCCACGAGACAATAGTCGCCGATGGTTAAAGACCTTGAATGACATGACTCAAAATCGTTTGCAATGACACAGGTGCATTCACTTTTTGGCTTCTCTCAAATTCTAATCTTCTGGACTTCACATCACCGCTATCTTTCTCTTTCTATATTTATCTCACTGAGGTTATACTTCTTGATTAATATCTTCGAACCTTAACCTTCTCAATTACCGCTAATACTTCCACTATATCTACCACTTTGAGATTTGAACTGACTGTTGAGTTTCTGTGCTAATTGTGGCATTCATCGTATGAGACACATTTTCTAATAGTCATCAAGTGACTTTCTCGTTTAATCGCTTCAGTAGTATGATTTGGCATCAGGAAATAGTTTTTCATTCTTCCGTTATATCAATTTCAAATCGGTTAATATATATATATATATATATATATATATATATATATATATAGTATTTAGATCGTAGTTTTATCTTGAAATCCTGAATGAATCATTGTTAGACCACCATTTGAAACCTGGAAACACTGGACGGCTGTTTCGTCCCGTTCTGGGACTCATCAGCAGTTCGCATCCACGACTCCTGCTAATCTCAGGATTCGAACCAATAAAATTTCGGTCTTGTGCAAGATTTTAAGATAAAACTACGATCTCCATAATACTTTAATGCGAAATTGAAATATGTGCTTACTAGTGACTAGCTTAATGAGGAAATTCTCAGAGTTCTAGTGAGAAGCTGTATGACCAGTGGAGTAGTTCAACCCTGTCTGGGTGTAGGCAGTAACTACGGCAGATAAATGGGTGAGGTAGCGCAAAATCCGTAGATTGATTAATCAGAGTTAGACACCGTTAACACCGTTAGGTGCTGGCTCAGTGGTCTAGAAGTTAAGCGTTCAAGCACAAGACCAACGGTCTTGGGTCCGAATCCTGAAAGTAGGTAGTGTCGTGGATTCGCACTGCTAATGAGTCTTATATATATACATATATATGTGTATCAATATCCATGTAACTTTAATTTCATTTCTTTTTTTTAAAAATAAAAAAACTAAAATAGGTTTTATTATCATATATGAGTGTATTTGGAACATGTCTTCAATATATCACATGTCGTGTACCACATCATGAATTGTATAGTTCACCACATTATATTGCATTAGATACACGTCATATTATGTCAGATTTATGTTATACAATTGGATGTAATTATGCTATTCCATGTTTAAAAAATTATTTCACAAATAAACAACTACAACAACAACAACATCAATCTAGTTTTCAACCATGTAAGTTTGAGAGTTTTATCATTATTATTATTATTATTATTATTGTTGTTATTTAATTGAAACATATGTATAATTATTGATACTCTATACAAAATATTTCGGACCGGTGTCAGGTAAGGTTGCTTACTCTCACCCTTTCTCTTTCTCGTGGTCATCCATCGACTGGATTATGAAGACGTCAACATCTGGAGGGAAGCACGGTATCAACTGGACAGTTAGGATGCAGCTGGACGATCTGGACTTCGCAGATGACCTGGCTCTTCTATCTCACACGCAACAACAAATGCAACAGAAGACGACCAGTGTAGCAGCAGCCTCTGCAGCAGTAGGTCTCAACATATATAAAGGAAAAAGCAAAATTCTCCGATGCAACACAACATGCACCAAACAAATCACTCTTGATGGAGATGCCTTGGAGGACATTAACACCTTTACATATCTTGGCAGCATCATCGACATTCAAGGTGGATCCGATGCAGATGTGAGGGTGTGAATCGGCAAAGCAAGGGCTGCATTTCTACAGTTGAAAAGTATCTGGAACTCCAAACAACTTTCAACCAAAACCAAAATCAGGATTTTCAATACAAATGTGAAGACAGTTCTACTGTATGGAGCGGAAACTAGGAGAACTACGAAAGCCATCATCCACAAGATGCAAGTGTTTATGAACAGTTGTCTACGCAAAATACTTCGGATTCGTTGGCCAGACACCATCAGCAACAAGGTACTGTGGGACAGAACAAACTAGATTCCAATGGAGGAGGAAATGAGGGAAGAAGCGGTAGAAGTGGATAGGACACACACTGAGGAAAGCACCAAACTGCGACAAGAGACAAGCCCTCAGTTGGAACCCTGAAGGCAAAAGGAAAAGAGGAAGGCCAAGAAACACATTACTCCGAGAAATAGAGAAAGATATGAGAGGAATGAACAAACATTGGACAGAACTGGAGAGAGAAGCCCGGAACAGAGTTGGTTTGAGGAAACTGGTGGGCGACCTATGCTTCACTGGAGGTAACAGGCGTAAGTAAGTAAGTAACTATTGGTACCATAAGGAAGGGGACACACACGTAAGTGTATTTCTACCATCATAAAACTTGGTCTAGGGATACTTTTTGTGCGCACCCAATTCAAAAGGCGGTGATGGAGATCCATTTCAAGTAAATAATCCACACTTGCTGCCAATTCGGTTAAAACGCCGAATATTTGTTTTTCGTCCTTTCAGTTACATGAATAACAGTTCCGTCGCGAGAAAATAACTAGCGCAACTTCTATGACAGTGCTTATATAACGTTTGGTCATATGTGAACATTTAGAGAAGGAGAGCAGACTCTACTTACTTTCAACCGCATTAAGATATTTGGGGGTGAAAAATAGCCAACTTTTGACTTTGACAAATTGTAAATCTAAATCCGACAATATCAAGTCCAAACGTTCAATGATATTAATGTTTTTTAAATTTACTTTACTTACTTACTTACTTACTTACGACTGTTACTCCCAACGGAGCGTAGGCTGCTGACCAGTATTCTCCAGCCTACTCTGTCCTGGGCTTCCCTTTCCAGTTCTGTCCAATTTTCGTTCATTCTCCTCATATCTGTCTTCGTTTCTCGGCAAAATATGTTTTTTGGCCTTCTTCGTTTCCTCTGACCTTGAGGGTTCTAAGTGAGGGTTTGTTTTGTGACGCAGTTCGGTGATATCCGACATGTGTGTCCTATCAACCCTCAGCTGCAATCTAATTTGATGTATCCCACAGTAGGTTGTTGCTGACGGTGTCTAGCCAACGGATCCGTAGTATTTTGCGTAGAAAATTGTTAATAAATACTTGTATTTTGTGAATGATGGCTTCGATAGTTCTTCAAGTTTCTGCTCCATACAGTAGAGGTATCTTAACATTTGTATTGACAATTCATACTTTCAAAATTTCATGAATCAAATTCAAACTGACTATAAACACAATAACGTAATATTATTATTATTATTATTATTTGGCACTTTTTTTATCAGTTGGTTAATGTTGTTCTCCAAAAAAAATAGAGAACTAGTACAAAGATTGAACATACGATCGATATGGTTGCGCATGCATTTCGTTAATCTGTATCTACCAATCAATCAATCAATTTAAAACAGAAAACAGATTGTAGTAGTATTAGTAGTTACTTAACACATAAATCAATTTGGCTGAGATTTTTTTTTCATGAAATACATGTGAAAGTACATTAAACGATAAAAAGTACAGACAGACAAATTTGAAAGACTAAATGAAGGTAATATATATGTAGATTGTATCATTTTCATAGTTGTCAGTCAGTTGCAACGTAGAACTTCGTACGTACGTACATAAGTTCATGTTGCCATACCACATCAACACAGAAACGCAAATGTCAACTCAAATCCCATAGTGGTTTGAATCCTGCGAGTAGCTGGAGTCGTGGATGCGCACTGTCACTGATGAGCCTAATACCAAGCAGGAAGAAGCGGCCGTCTTGCAGTGCCTCCAGGTTTCTAATGGTAGTCTAACCAAAGGACGAGTTTACTGCGTAGCAGTTCGCTCTGTCCTACTATACAGATGCGAAACATGGCCGTCAAGAATAGAGGACATTCGTAGGTTACTAGTCTTCGATCATCGGTGTCTCCGAAGCATTGCTCGTGTATCCTGGGACGACTGAGCAAGCAATGCTATCGTTAGGAAACGAGTTCTAGGTAAGGATGGCAAATCAGTAGATGAAGCATTGAAACTTCATCAGTTGAAGTAGTTGGGACATGTTTTACGTATGGCTAACCACCGACTGCCTCGACAAGCCATGTTTTGCGGTGTAGGAGTAGGTTGGAAGAAAGTTAGGGGCGGCCAGTCCAGAAATCCATAAAGTCACTGACAAGTGGAGTCATGTTGGTAGATGTGGTTGGGGTCCGAGAGACGAAAGTCACCAACGGTTAGAGGCCTTGAACGTCATGGTTCAGAATCGTTTGCAATAACGCAGGTGTTCTCTCTAATTCTAACCTTTTGAATTCCTCATAATCTCTATCTTTCTCCTTCTAAATTTATCTTACTGAATTATACTTTTTCGAATCATATCTTTACTCCCTAATCTTCCCGATTGCTGCTAATACTTCTATTATCGTTATCACTCTTGGATTTGAACTGACAGTTGCGTCTCTGTGCTGATGTTTTATGGCAACCTGAACTGGTGTACGTACGTAAGTACAATGTTCTGTGTTGAATCTGTCTGTCTAACTATGATTGATTTTATGATTTCAGTAATTTTGAATAAGTTTACCTTCATTTTTACGCTGTATTGTATTGTATTGTGTTCTACATTCATTCATTCATTCATTCTTCCTTTTTTTCCCTGTTTTTTTTTTATTATTCTTATTCTTATATAATTAGCTGCTATTGGCTTGAAAACACCATCGAAACCAATTACATCATTATATTTTCTACAAGATCTTTATGAATCACGATTTGATTTAGCTATATGGTCAAAAAGTTATTCTGAAGCAAAATGGTCAACAATACAAAAAAATCTATGGAAATTACATATGCCTTATCCGTTACATTCACATGATTATTTACCTTGTTCTTATACACATATATTTGGACCAAATTCAGAAGCTGGTTTAATTTATCATAGAATATGGCGTAAAGTTTTATTAGATGATATTCTTTTGTCATTCAAAGAAGTTGGTTGGTTATCGTCATCATCATCGGATAAAACAGATTGTGAGAAGGTAAGTAAGTATTTACAAACAATACGATGCCGTGATGGTGGTTAAGTTGATTTACCAGGTGACTGGCTCGCTTATATTGACTTAGAATATGCCCCGATGATATAGTCCTACTTGGTGGGTGAACACGCTGACAAAATGCAGCAGAGTCTTCTGACTACTACCCTAAGCAACACAATGCAAGCATATTCGGGATGCGGTTTTTCCTCCTTGAAATGTAAAATGTTTCTTCAAGATTGGGTTGCATTGGCACCAAAACTAGTGATAGGGAGTGAAGTAGTCGAACGTGTAGACCGCTTCACTTATCTTGGGAGTCTCATCAGTGCTGATGGCCTGGTGACCGACGAAATCTCTGCTCGATTGGCTTTTGCCAACCTGCGTCACTTATATGGCATAGGCGAGATATCCGTTTGCTGACTAAAGGACGAGTGTAGTGTGTATTCGTTCGCTCCGTCTTACTTTATGGCTGTGAAACATGGCCAGTGAGAGTACAAGATATTCGTCGGTTATTTGTTTTCGATAATAGGTATCTTCGAAGCATTGCTCGTATATCGTGGGACAACCGAGTGAGCGACGCTGTTATTAAGAAACGGGTGCTAGGTAAGAATGGCAGATCAATAGATGAAGTACTGAAACTTCATCAGTTGAGATGGTTGAAACATGTGTTGCGTATGCCTAACCACCGACTGCCTCGACGAGCTTTGTTTTGTAGTGTAGGAATAGGTTGGACGAAAGTTAGGGGGGTGGCCAGACCAAAACATGGCAGAAATCCATGAAGTCATTGACTAGTGGACTTAGCCATGGCCATTAGCCATAGCCACCCTGAATGACATGGCTCAAAACTGTTCGCAATGGCGCCGGTGCATTTATTCTTTGTGTTCTCTCAAACCCTAATCTTCTGGATTCTTCAACACCTCTAGTTTTGACTTTCTAAACTTTTCTCACTGAATCATACTTCTTGAATAATATCTTCTAATCCTAACCTCTTCGATTACTTCTAATACCTTTACTACCTCTTTTACTACTGGAATTGAATTGACAATTATATCTCTGTGCTGATGTGGTATGGCAACATGAACTGATGTACTTACGTACGAAGTTCTACGTTGCATCTGACTGACTGACTGGTTAGTTGATGTTTAAAGAACAACTGTTGAACATTCCTGTGGGTCAAATTTTTTTCATTTACAATAGTTCATTGAATCTTAGGTAAATTGCAGTTAAAATTTTTTAAACGATCCCACTTATTAATATTATTGATAACTCCACGATTTGACTCTGGCATAACAGTTGAATAATTTGTGGCGAAAGAAAGAGATGATGAATAGTTGTTGTTTTTACACACCAATCATCTCGAACAAAATTGGATTTCATAACCTTCCGGTCTTGCAATGACCATGAAACTTTGAAGTATCGTGTTAGAAAATACAAAATGGTGCTAACACTTTCTAAATTCAGTTCTCTAAAGATTTGACATTACTCATTACTTAATAATACTACCGATAGATAACCGTGTTAATTCTGACTTGAATGACTCGAAAAATTGTATATTTCTATACCAAATAACTGGAAAGTTGATAAAACTAGTAAATACATTGAAAAAATATTACTCTACTGCCTTTCACCAAAACTTGAATGTTCGACGCTTAAAGTGGGTTGGTGGTTCCAAAAGATTCACCCAAAGAAGTTGTAAGAGCTTGATTCCAAACTGATGGTTCATATATCGGCTTTAGTATTTTGAGAGAACAAATGGGGTGCAAACCTATTGTTCGTCACCGTCTGCCATTGGATTGCCTCTTCTGACGTCACTCCACGACCTTGTGATTAGATCTGTAGGTCAAGGTCTCAGGGAATGGCTCTCCAAGTGAACCACTTGTTCCGGTCTGATTACGCGATGAGTATCCCAAACCCTTATACAAATTCATTGGTTTGTGTGGGACAAATGCATTTTATTGCCTCTTTGTGCCAACATTAATGTATTTAGATGAATAATATCTAAACAAATAATATTGTATTACATTCTAGGTACATATGCTTTGTTGAACTATCGTTAATCGAGTTGAATCAGCTGTGTGATCATAAACAAGTTGGTGATCTTGAGTACTAATGAATTAACAAAGTGAATTAGTGGCATCCTAATCTACTCAATGGTCGTCAATTTGTTTGAAATTATCAAATTGAAGCTTGATCTTGAGTATGTGGGTAGCGCATCCAGTGAGATTCCTGGGAAGGAAATTGAACAAAAAATTGTTCTTAGTGTATTGATTGAAATGCAAAGCATTTCGGAGATTTCCTCCGACCATTCTTTGCTCATCCAACTTAACTTAGTGATTTGAACTGCAGTTTAAAAAAGATGGATGACTTGGGATCGTGTGCAACCGAAGTGTGGCTCGAGGCCAGTTGAACTGATCCCTAAAGTGTTCTGCCTATCGGTCCAGTCTCCTGGGTTGAGAATGGATAATAGGACCATCCTTTTCCGAAATAGTCTCACTCACATTCGGGTTCCTAATGCCGGTTTCTCTGATAAGGCTGAAAAGTTGTCTAGTGTTGCCTATCGCCGTTGCCTTTTCCATCACTTTTGCTTTTGCCACCTACCACTGTTCGCGGTCGTAAAGTAGGCTTTTTATCAGTCTGCGCCTAAGCTGACTACGCTCTTCATAATGTTCAGAGTCAGGTGGGATGCGTTTTCGAGCATCCATCAGTTCGGTGGATACTACGGAGATCCAAGGCTTCATTCTAGCCTTATGGTTTACCTTGCTAGCAGATATCACTGCTGTTTCCACAGCCTTCTTGATATCATTCCAACCTACCTCTGGATGGAAATCACTTGCATGGTCGCCTAACCGCTTTTCTAGTTCCTCCTGAAATATATTCTTCTCCTTATTACCATTAAGTAAAACCCTAGAGGGCTTTCTTACGGTGTCTTTCCTACGTCCAGTAAGCCTCAAACAAATACGTGCTCGCACTAGAGCATGATCTGAATCTAAACATGTTCCCCAGAACGAGCGACAGTCCTCGATCGAACCTCTCCATCGGTGGCTGATGGCGATATGATCTAGTCATTTCCTGGTTACTCACACTGTAGAATCACACCTAGTGAGTTTCCTGTAAAGGAAATTGAACAAAAAGTGGTTCTTAATGTATTGATTGAAATCCAAAGCATTTTGGAGATTTCTTCCGACCACTATATGCTCATCCAACTTAACGTAGTGATTTGAACTGCAGTTTTGTCTATGAAATCCATTCAGTGTTTAAAACCAGATATGGCACATTTGTTCTTCATTAAACTGATTAACTTTTGCGAAAATTCTAATTTCATAAGAAATCTAGAGCTTATCATTTTAATATAATTGACTTTTGTGTAGTTGTATACTCTTCATAGCGAATTGTGATTCTTTTAATCATGACACCGCATTTACTCTCAGCATCAGTGGCCAAACTGTAATATCTACAGGAGTAGAGCAGTAGCTCTGTGATAAATAGCAAATTCAAACTCTATACAACCCATTTCATTTTCGGTGACCAGTTAATATCTTTAGCCCCCGCACTTGGGATGTGATGCTTACCTTAGCACCTAGTTGAATAAGTTAATTTAAATTTGTAATTGATGGTTGTGTGGAACTTATTATATGCTTTGCTAAATTTTTAGGTGTCCGAAGTATTTAAACGTTTTCGAGATACATATTTAACTTATGGAAGTGCAATCCCACCAGCTGAATTATTCCGTCGTTTTCGTGGAAGAGATATTGACCCTCAAATATGTTTAAAAAAGATGGAGCGTCTAGTGGAATTTCCAGAATTATCTTTACCATCAGAAAATGTTGCACCTCTACTTGTCCGTTCATAATTTTTCACAAATTACAGTTTCTTCTATAAATGGTCATGTACACAGTTACTTAGTAATCACAGTTCTTCAATCCTGTAATATCATTCATTTATTTGTATTCAATAACAAATACTTTATGCTTAGCACTTGTACATTACAATATATTCTCTTAGTCGACTGTAATTTGATATTTTTTGTAGATTGTGGCGTTGTCGAATTTTGGGTATTCATGAAATCTTCATACTAATATTGGTAATATCTCTGCCAATGAACTTTGTGCCTGTCTAAAAATCTAGTAGCTCATGTTATGTATCTGGCTGATCGTTTTTTCTCATGATTCCAGTTGTGATTACGTGACATAAGAAACTAAATGCTATTTGTTATGCATTAAGAAATGTGATGGTGATTGCCATCAGCCTATCTGTTTGATTTGGACGCTGATAAAATGCAGAATCTTCTGACTACATTAAGCAACATTGCAAGCATGTTCAGGATGTGATTTTCCACATCGAAATGCGAAATTTTGCTTTAGGATTGGGTTGCGTCGGCACCTGAACTAGTTGGGTGTATCAACCGCTTCACTTATCTTGTGAGTCTCATCAGTGCTGAAGGCCTAGTGTGTGATTAAATCTGTACTTGGTTTTGTCAACTTCCTTCACTTATGGCGTGGGTAAGACATCTGTTTACCAACCGAAGGGAGGAGTTTTCAACACAACAGTCCGCGCCGTCCTATTTTGTGTCTGTGAAACAGGGCCAGTAAGAGTAGAGGATATTCATAGGTTACTGGTTTTTGATTTGAGGTATCTTCGGAGCATCGCTCGTTATTCTGGGACAATGGAGTAAGCAATGCTGTTGTTAGGAAATGGGTACTAAGTAAGGGTGGCAAATCAACAGATGAAGTAGTGGAACTTCATCAGTTGAGGTTGTTGGTATATGTGTTATGTGTGCCCAGCTACCGCCTGCCTCAGTGAACGATATTGCCTGATGTAGAGGTAGGCTTGTAGAAAGCTAGAAGCTGCCAGAGCAGTACATGGCAGAAATCCTTGAAGTGACTGACAAGCAAACTGGGCCGTGCTGGTAGATGTTGACTACGAGGTTGGTGCATGCGAGACAAGGGAAACCGGTGGTTAGAGACTTTGAATGACATGGTTCAAAATCGTATGCAATGGCCCAGGTACATCCATTGCTTGTCTTCTCTCAAATTCTAGACTAAAATCTTCATCTCTACCTTTCTCTTTCTAAATTTATTTCCCTTGATTGTACTCCTTAAATCATATCTTCGAACCCTAATCGTTTTGATTACCGCTAATGCTTCTACAACCTCAATACTTTGGGATTTTGATTGACAATTTGATTTGTGGATACTAATGTGATATGGCAACTTGAACTAACGTACGAGCAGCCAAAGTTCTACGTTGTAACTGGCTGAATGACTGAATTAACGTGACTCATAATGCAGAATGGAACTGATCCACAAACCGGAGCTTAAGGCTCTAATGTGCACGATTTAGGAACGTTTAAATTTAGGTTGGATTTTGAGTAATTATCATTATAAAGCGATATCTCATTTACACGGTTCATTTTTTTCTTTACGATATAAAACTATGTCAATTGGTGGTTAGTTATTTTTGGTTTTTAAATATATCCTGTGAGTTATGCGGGCTATTTCTTATCCGCTCTGCACCACATTTCACAGTTATTCTGCCAAAGTTATAAGAAAGGGAAATCGATTTAAATCGAGAAGATGGTACACAACACCGATATTTATTCGATTATACCAAATCGCGTTCATTTTTATTATGTACAAAGCTTCGAGTCACTGGTACTCAACAGTTATTTGAAATACATTTTGTATGTGATCTTTGTAGTCGTCGTAAAAATAACTGCCACGATTTTGTGTTTATCTAATATAAAGTAACTTACTGAGAATGAACAAAAATACTCGATCTCCGTTTGCAAATAACTGTTTACATACGAAGGACATTTGTGATCAGCCAATACACGCCGTTATCTTGAGTTCTGTCAAACAATATCTTATTGATATTGGTCCAATATCATGCCATGATAAACTCCAATAATAAAGATTGAATCGAAGAAGATCAAGAAATATGAAAACAGTTATACAAGTCGTGAGCAAGAGTTACATAGAAGGTGAAAGGAAAACCTAATCAAAATATTACCAACAGAAACAATTTAGAGGAATTTGCTGAGCACAATAAAGGGACTCCAGGGCTCAGCCTCGTCGGCTGTATTCTAGTAATTGTTATCAAATGTTTTCTGTTGACACTGAGAACTGATGGTTCCATGCAAGAAATTGAGACATCTTAAGCAGTATTGGATCTTGCGACTCAGTTAGTACAAAGTAATAGAAGGCTTTTACCGACATGTGACATCAAATCATAAATACAGGATTTATAAAAAGAGATTCCGTTTTGAAATAATTGGGCATAATAAAAATCACCAGGCAGACAGAAAGTTTAGAGGTATCTGTAGAATTCTTTTTGAATGTTTTGTTTTTGGGAAAATCCCTCCATGTTTACTTATTTTGCTATGACCTGATGGACTTTTTCTCTTGACATTTTTGGTATTTTACTTGATTCCAATTTGAGATTTTACCATTGTATGTCGTTATTCTTTCCATATTTTGTACTTATATTGAAGTTTTTGTGTTTGCTTCTGAATTGTACATATATTGTTTAAATTTGATATAATATGGCTACCGCCACATTTTTGGATAGACGCGGTGGCTGCTGGACTTAGTGTCACTTACTAGCTATTGTAATAGATACTCTACGGAGTAATTTAGTCCTGGAAGAAACAAAAACATCGTAAGCCTCTGTATTTCCATTTTATAACAATATAGAGACGTTTTCTCCTAGAATTTTTGGCCTTCTGATTTGGCTGGGACCTGGATCTAGGAGTATCGTACCGGTGTGTTTCTATTGGACGCGATTAGGACAGCCGCCGGCGAAATAGATTCTACAGTCTGATGTTTGCTCTTCTTGCGTGAATTATACTTGGAAATATCCACCGGACGCATATAATTTGGATCTATTTGGATTATTAAGAATTACAAGGAAACATTTGGAATTTAATCGTTTATCATACTAGACTTCCTTGGAGGAAGACGCTGGAACTACTTATCATTAATTTTGAACTGAATTTTGGATTTATTCTATTTTGTATCGTTACCGTCTTTATTGAACTTTATTTATGATGTCAAACCGAAAAAAATCACACGTGAGGAGGGTGGAAGAGCTCGATGGATCACAGGGCTCTAGGCAAGTCGTTGATGATAACCTTTTTATGGGTAACCCACATGTTATGTCTGATATTTATTATTGTAAGTCATCGATAGAGGGTTTAGAATTACCTAAGGTTGAGCTTTCATATTTTGATGGAAGGTCTCGCGACTATTTTAAGTTCATACGACAGATAGAGACGTTTATAGAACCTCGAATCAAGGATGATCAAGTGCGTTTATTGTATTTAATTCATTATTGTAAGGGAAAAGCTAAAAATGCGATCGAAGGCTGTCTTATAATGGACCCACAGGCAGGATATAAGAGAGCTAAGGTTATTTTAAAACAGCTTTTTGGGCAGTCACATGTGATAGCGCGAGAAACCTTAGAGGACTTATTTAGAACTGGGAATGTCGAATTTAATGATCCTGAATCATTGACGAACTTGGCCATTAAAATGCAGAATGCTTCTTTAACTTTAGAACAGTTAAATTGTACAGCTGAACTTAACTCTATGACTACTTTAGAACGAATAGTAAGGCTCTTACCTCGTCGAATGCAAGCCCAGTGGGCAGAGCTAGTATTCAAGTGGGACGAAGAGGAGAGAGAGCCCAATTTTAACGAATTGACGGAATTTATTATGTCTCGTGCTAAGATAGCTAGTAGTAGGTTTGGAAGATTAGCTTATCAGGCTAAAACAGGAAATAATATGGAAGCTACTAGTGGTCTGCGTGCGAGACATTCGGATTTTTCGTTTCTACCTAAAGCACGCTCGGAAGATAAGCGATTTGTCAATTATATCACGAAAGCATACGCTGATGAAGGACGAGTACGTGACCGTAACGATGTAAATTCTCTTGATGCGTGTCCTAGCAAGAAGCCGGTTTGTGTAACAGATAAGATGGCTTTTCTATGTGTAGAAAAGAAAGAAAAAGGCGAAAAGTGTAGGCATCAAGATGGATCCGAAGTGTGTGACGATAAAAGCCTCTTAGCTGCTCGAAAAGCCTGGAACGGTAATTTGGATTCGAGTAATCAGAGGTTAGTGAGTTCAGCAAATATGAATAAAGCCCAGGCAGGATTGACTGAACGGAATAAAGCTTATTTTCGGAACCCTTCAGTTAGGGTAAATTATATAACTGGACCTAGAGTAGCTTCTAGGATAAGTGATGGTGGTACAGTAACGGCTAAGAAGCCTAGGAGACATGATGCTACTATTACTAAGAAGCCTGAACCTCATGCTCTTTCGGATGCTACGACTAGCTATGGAAATAGTAGCCATCAGAACCTCAATAGTGACAGTGATAATGAGAATATAGAAAGTGTCAGCAGTCCACTTATAGGGACTAGTTTATCGACTTCATCGAGTGAGCCTCCTAGTGTTTCGACGCCATTGGACCTCGTCACGAAGGTTAAGTTGATTGAAGATGCACAAGGTTGCGCAACTGTAACTGTTCCTATTACGGTTGACCGTCAGTCGAGTGATGATGAGAAGAAAATGTTTGATGGTAACAGCCAGTCTACAGTGCTGTGTGATGACGATGCTATTGTTGAGCATATGTCTTGTGCCGCGGAAACGGATGCTAATGTAGAACGGAATCATTTAGACGTTGATAATAAACTGGATGTCACTGATGTGACAAATGAGTTACCGACGATGATGAATACTGTTCAAACCTCCTCTGCAGCAGGAGATGGAAGGATAAATATTGATCCTACGTCATGCTACTTAAGGTCTTCTGGAGACGATGAAATGTCAAAATTGGAAATCCCACCCTTGCATATTATTTATGGGTCAAAAACTTCTGTTGATAAGTTGGCATCATGGACTTCATGTTATCTGCTGATCAGAGCAAGTGGTGGTGGATTGGCGACTCGTCCCCACGATAGAGAATGTAGTCCTTGGATAGGATATGACCAGTTTTGCGACGCGTTGTTCATG